CTCTCTGTTTAGTGTAGCAGTATCTCTTAAACACATTTCCACAACAATTTTATATCATGCATGTAAATCTGGATTTGTTTGTATTGTTCTTTTTCTTTTAGACCCCAAAATAAAAGTGCTTCTCAAGCTCAAGAAAATACAACTTAATATATGTAGATGTAAGCTATATGTTTATAAAAAATATACATCTAAAAATGTCTACTTCTAAACTAAACACAGATGACAGATTTTGAAATATATAATAAATATAAAATAGTGTAAAATATATCTTTTTAACACACTCTTATAAAACAAATCTGTCATTATATTTGATATATGAGTGAATGTGTGTAATCATATCTAAATATTTTTCTTTGTTCTTTGTATCTCCACTTGATGGCGCTCGAACTGTGATATTGTGTGTGTGATACATTGTGGAGAGAATTTCAGATGTTCAGGATATCAGTTTCAAGGTGTGACTGGATTCATCACGTTAGCAGCTCTGCTATCAGAAATAAATGTACGCGAGCTGTCACTGGGGTGGTACCTTTTCAAAAGGTATGCATTTGTACTTAAAGAGTTCATATTGATACCTCAAAAGTATATATTAGTACCAGCATTTATTTAAGATGAACACTGTACTTCTTAGGTACTAGTATGTACCTTGAGGTATTAATATGCACCTTTTAGGTACAAATGTGTAACTTTTGAAAAGGTACCACACCAGTGACATCTCAAGTATCTTTATTTCTGAGAGTGTATAAATTAGACAATACTGTTAAATGTTAGAAATAATTATATTTCCATGGTACAAAAAAACAAAACATTGTAAAGCACTCAAACAAAACACAACTGCTCACTTCTTAGTTTAAATAATTTAAGTGTGTGATCCTGAATTAAGCAGAAAGTAAATTAAAAAAATTGAGCTACAACAATTGCCTTTAACTTTAGTGGTACAGTACTATTCTCAGAGTATGCAAATCTGAGCTATAAAAGGGCCAGACGGAATCTGCAGACATTTTTGGCTATTTTTGCGCAGAATTTTGTTAAAAGTCTGCGGATTTATGCAGAATTATTTTGGGAGTATCAAGACTAAAACCTTTATATATAAAATTTAAAGTAATGCCTTTTTAACTTGTATTAAATGTTTACAATGCAAATCCAATTAGATCCACTTTATCTGGTGAACAAAGCAAGGCTCTCATTTAATATCTCTACTTAAAGACAGAAAATATTGTTGAACTAGCTGTATTGTAAATAAATCATATAAATATTTTCATACTAGTCAATGATATCACTGAAATTAATTTAAAAACTACATATATATGAATTTGCACACAGGTAAATAAACTGAATCAATGACTGACTAAAAATCTGCGGAATTCTGAGTGCACAGATTCTGTGTGGGCCTAGCTTTAAGCAATATAGTAATAGTAATAATAATAATTTTGTTGTTGCTGTTAATGATAATGATGATGATATGAGACAATTTATTATACTGTAACATTTTCAGTTTTTCAGGTTAACCCATTAATATTTCGAAATAGGTCATGGAAACAGTCCGAGCACACAAAAATGTATGACAATTATAGGATTTTATAATTTAATTAATTAAATAATAAAAAATAGTTAATACATTTATTTAGTTCATTTATTAAATATAATAATTATTATTATTAATGATGATAATAATAATTGGGGTGTCACAGTGGTGCGGTGGGTAGCATGATCGCCTCACAGCAAGAAGGTCGCTGTTTCGAGCCTCGGCTGGGTCAGTTAGCATTTCTATCTGGAGTTTGCATGTTCTCCCCGTGTTCGTATGGGTTTTCTCTGTGTGCTCCGGTTTCCCCCGCAAGTCCAAAGACGTGCTATAGATGAACTAGGTAAGCTAAATTCATTCTTCATTCTTTCATATCACATTTTACCTGTTTTTATGTTTTGTTTTGTTTTGATGCATTTTTATTATTTGTTTTTATTTTTATTTTACTTGTTTCTTTTATTCTTGTTTATGTAAAGCACTTTGAATTGCCATTGTGTATGAAATGTGCTATATAAATAAACTTGCCTTGCCTTGCCTTGCCTAAATTGTTCCTAGTGTATGAATGTGTAATGGATGCGTAAAACATGCTGGATAAGTTGGAGGCTCATTCCGCTGTGGTGACCCCAGATTAATAAAGGGGCTACGCCGAAAAGAAAATGAATGAAGGAATGAATAATAATAATTATAGCACCATATTATCCCAATAGTTACCAATTAAAACCATCCTAACTTACTGTCCTGACATACTGTAAGGCTGCATGACAAAAAGGATAAAACATGTCTGCTGATCACTATAGCTGTCCCAGATGATACAAAAATCACGTTAATGGAGACTGAGAAGATCAGTAAATGCAAAGACTTACAGATCAGCAGGATGTGAATATTTGAAACATACCAGTGATAGTAGGGAATTATAATAGCATTAGGAACATTAAAGAAAGGTTTTATCCAGAACCTAAAAATGTTCGCAGGCTGTCCATCAGCTAGTGTCGTGCAAAATATCACATTGCCACTGCACATATCCTTGCTTGGCTGAATTGCTGTGATTGCTTGTTGAGATCTGAATTTACTAGTACAACTGCAAATAAACCCGAGAAGAAAAAAATAATATTAATAAAAGTAATAATACTCACCCAAAATCCTCTAAATTGTAAAGAAAACCTTGTCAGCTCTCTGTTACTCTCTCAAAACCATTTAAGCTGCAACATTCTGTTAAACTATCGGAAACTTGTGTTTCCAACCACAATATGTCACATTTACATGTGGTTTAGAAGCACTTTGCTCTATTTCTAATTGCTGACATTATGTCTAGCAAAAATAATGGTCAGTTGACATTTCTGTGTGGAGTTTGCATGTTCTCCCCATGTTTGCGTGGGTTTCCTCTGGGTGCTCCGGTTTCCCCCACAAGTCCAAAGACATGCGGTATATATACAGTATATATTTACACAGGGCGACGCAGTGGCACAGTAGATAGTGCTGTTGCCTCACAGGTTTGAGCCTTGGCTGGGTCAGTTGGCGTTTCTGTTTGGTGTTTGCATGTTCTCCCTGCATTCGCGTAGGTTTCGTCCGGATGCTCCGGTTTCCCCCACAAGTCCAAAAACATGTGGTTTAGGTGAATTGGGTAGGCTAAATTGTCCGTAGTGTATGTGTGTGTATGAGTGTGTGTGGATGTTTCCCAGGGATGGGTTGCGGCTGGAAGGGCATCCGCTGCGTAAAAAACGCGCTGGATAAGTTGGTGGTTCATTCCGCTGTGACGACCCCGGATTAATAAAGGGACTAAGACGACAAGAAAATGAATGAATGAATATATATATGTTAAAGTCAGAATTATTAGTTCCACTTTGAATTTTTTTTCTTCTTTTTTAAATATTTTCCAAATGATGTTTAACAGAGCAAAGAAATTTTCACAGTTTGTCTGATAATGTTTTTTTATTCTGGAGAAAGTCTTATTTGTTTAATTTTGGCTGGAATAAAAGCAGTTTTTAATTTTTTTAACACAATTTTAGGGACAAAATTATTAGCCCCTTTAAGCTATATTTTTTCTTGACAGAACAAACCATCATTATACAATAACTTGCCTAATTACCCTATCCTTCCTAGTTAACCTAATTAACCAAGGTAAGCCTTTAAATGTCACTTTAAGATGTATAGAAGAATTTTAAAAAAGATCAAGTAAAATATTATTTACTGTCATCAAGGCAAAGATAAAATAAAAACATCACGAGAAATGAGTTATTAAAACTATTATGATTAGAAATGTGTTGAATAAATCTTCTCCCCATTAAACAGAAATTGGGGAAAAAATAAACAAGCGGTCTAATACTTCAGGGGGGCTAATAGTTCTTACTTTAACTGTATATGATATCTATATCTATATATATATATATATATATATATATATATGTATATATATATATTTTTTTTTTGCAATCGATTTCCTTAAATGGTTTGAGTTACCTTAACTTATTAGGTTTTACAATCATTTCCAGACCTCCTTGCCTTAGCCTGCAGAGTGCATTACAATAAGGAATCGCTTTATTTATTTATTATACATTGAGACAATATAATTGTTGTATATTTGTTTGTACGTATATAGCCATTATATTTTGTATAATTTAAAAATGAACCCAACTGTACCAGCTTAGCTTCAATATTTCAGTTGCTGCAGTAAATTCAGTGTCACCCTTGTCTTGCACATAGGAGATGCACCATTTTAGGGGTATGTGTGTCCCAATCCTCTTAAGCTGGGAGGCACTGGGGTAAGGTGAAGGGCCAAAAAATGGCCATTAATAAGGATTTTTACTACAAAGAGCATCTGATTTATTACATTCATAAGGTGTTAATGTTACGATCATGATCTTCAAAGAAATGTTTAAAGGAAAAAAAACATGCCAAATGCCATTAGTCCCTTAATAACCCCAGGAAAATATTACACAATATATTTTAAATTCTGATACCCTTCCCTGATGACTTGACAGAATCAGTCTGTAAGAAATGTCTGACAGGGAAATATTAGGTTGTCTGAACAGTATAATGTGCTATAGAGAATCCAGGTAAATCTACATCTAGATAAAGTTAGAGCTAGCTTTCACTTAAAGTCAGCTTGAAGATGACTTTTCTCGCATATTATGAGACTTTGGTTATTTGTATAAAACTTCAATGTGAGTAACATGTTACTAAAGTGGAGTTAATGAAACCTAACTGGCCAGTGCATAATCTTATTACCCCATTAAGTCAAGGTCTGTATCCATCCATCGCTGGTAGTAATAATAATCTATTTGTGCACAAGGTAAAGGAATTCTTTTCTTTTTTTTGTATCAGCCTTTATTTTACACCCAGAGGCAAGTTAAAGCCCAATGGGAGTACTAAACTTAATAGAAGAGCGAAACATAATCATAGGAATATATGGGTGTTCCCTGTTATTCTGGTTTAGGATGTCTTTGGTGCAGAGATGGGTCATTGTGCTTTGTACCAGGAAGAACTTGGGGAAAAATAATCCACAGAGAAGGGAAATCACACACTTTCTGAAGCCTGAGACATACCCACTCTAATGTCTTGTAGGAAAACGGGCATCTGTGAGATATGCTGTGAGTACTGTCAATTTGATCTTTTAGTTTAAATGTCTTGTTAATTAATTTACAGGGATGCAGTGTTAAGTAATACAATATTAAGTACAATCTGTTACCGCTTATATGCATTTCCAGATAAGTGAGGACCAATATACCAATACCAATTTAAAGACTTTAGGTACCTACAGTTGAAGTCGGAATTATTAGCCCCCTTCGATTTTTTTTCTTCTTTTTAAAATATTTTCCATATGGTGTGTAACAGAGCGAGAACATTTTCACAGTATGTCTGATGATATTTTTTCTTCTGAAAAAAGTCTTATTTGTTTGATTTCACCAACATTAAAAGCAGTTTTTAATTTTTAAAACACCATTTTAGGGACAAAATTGTTAGCCCCTTTAAGCTATATTTTTTCTCGATAACCTACAGAACAAATCATCGTTATACAATAACTTGCCTAATTACCCTAACCTGCCTAGTTAACCGAATTAACCCAGTTTAGTCTTTAAATGCCACTTTAAGCTGTATAGAAGTGTCTTGAAAAATATCTAGTCAAATATTATTTACTGTCATCATGGCAAAGATAAAATAAATCAGTTGTTAGAAATGAGTTATAAAAACTATTATCTTTAGAAATGTGTTAAAAAAATCTTGCCTCTGTTAAACAGAAAATGGGGAAAAAATAAACAAGCGGTCTAATAATTCAGGGAGGCTAATAATTCTGATTTTAAATGTATATGTTCTTTTAAGATATAAAATGAAATCTTTAGGAAACCTTTTATACTCTACTGCTCTATTGGTAACCTGTGTGCATTTATTTTTGAGAGAGTGAGATCTAGATTTACATTTGATTAACAGAAACAGTTTATGTTCTTAATATTTTCCTTTATGCTCTGAATTCTGAATTAAATTTGATGTATTGGTATAGGGGAAGATCTCCAAATAGTTTCAATAAATATATTCTAAAAAAAAAGTCAAACACAACTATTAAGGAAAATAGTTTAAATAAGATTTTAAATAAGATTTTAATCCACAGTTTGTTTAGATTTGACAAAAACTTTTTGTAATTTTAGTCTGATTTTGATTCCATAGAGATCAAAGTGTCTATTGGGATAGGATGTTTAACCATGATGTGATGGAGAGAAGGATGTTCTTTCCAGTAGTGATTAGCAAGAGACATGTTTTGTCATAATTTGATTCTGGTGCACAAAAAAGGTTTTTCTAGAATTCTGACAGACAAAGGCTGAATCTGACCCAGAGTCAGATAAAACATTCAGCACGTAACCAAGTCAGAGATCATGGTATATTGACATATATTTTTTCCTATTCAGGACAAAAGCCAATGATTACTTTAATTACCAAACTTGAGAAAACTTCTTTGTCTTTCAGTCCGTTTTTATTTTTTTATTTTGTTGACACCAGTCATTACTAGAAATAGAACTTTTCAAACATAATCAAGCAAATGAATTAACAAAACTTTAGGGTGTTGTTCTATAATTAGAAATGGTATAATCTAAAACGTACTTTAGGTTAAATCACTGTAAAGGGAACATTGACAGAGATGGATAGATTTAATGGAGTAAATTGCTTCTAGAGAAGGACGCATTGGCGTTCTTAGGTTTTTTTTGTGTTATTTATGTTGGAGGTAGATATCCTATGAACATATCCACCCCTTTTTTAAAGTGTAGTGTGTGTGTGTGTGTGTGTTTGTGTGTGTGTGTGTGTGTGTGTGTGTGTGGGGTGGGGGGTACTTCCCCCGTCACTTTTAGAGACAGACCATTAAGATTAATATTTATATGAAAGTAAATTTTTGGATCTCATAGCTGTCCCCTCACTTTTAAAATGTCCACTGTGTGTTACTGTGTACAGTAATGACCCTGCAGGTAACCTTACCACTCATACAATTATCCCCCTCACTTTTTGAGACAGATCATTTAGATTAATATTTATAGCCATTATAATTTATATCGAGGGTAGCCAACCCTGTACCTGGAGAGCTACCTTCCTGCAGGTTTCAGTTGCAACCCATATTAAACACACATGCCTGTAATTATCACGTGGTGTTCAGGCCCTAATTATTTGTTTAAGGTGTGTTTGATCAGGGTAGCAACTGAAATCTGCAGGAAGGTGGCTTTCTGGGAACAGGGTTGGCCACCCCTGATTTATATGAACGTAAACTTTTGGATCTCATACAGCTGTCCCCCCCACTTTTAAAATGTCCACTACGCCCCTGCGTACAGTAATGACCCAGGTAACCTTATTACTCACACCATTATAGGCTTATTATTATTATTATCTTCATATTCACAATTACATTTAGATTGTTTATGAGTTTCATTTTTTAAGGCATTCTTTACATATTTAAACATAAATTTAAACTTATTCCTTTCTACCCATTATTTTCTGGTTTAGTTATCTTACGTTTAAAGGGCCTTTATACCAGAACTTCTGGTGTACTCACTGATTCATTTGACATCAGGTTTGTCTGGGGTTTGTTGATCTGAAGAATGTCTTATTTTTATTTATTTTTTTTTACCTGAGGCACATACAGTAATAGTTCATGCAATTCTGCTTACAGTATTTATCGTACATTTTTGTGTTTGTACTGTGTATTCATTACAGCTGTCCTTAACTAAAGATTTTCTGTCGCCCATTAGTCATTCATTGAAGCCATTAGCCATCTCAGGCTGAAAAGTCTTAAGAGAATAATGTTGAAAATGGTAACAATGACACAGTCAGGATAAAGGACAAGGCTTAAATATAAACATCTAATGAAAAAATACTGTTATGAAAAATAATAAGTCAATACTTTAAATGAAACATCAGATGAAACATAAGTTTTAGCTTCAATTAGTTGCAAAATAAAAAGCATTTTCACATTATTATTTAATGTATTATTTCATATGAATAGACTTTTTGTTTGACAACCAATTAAAACTAAAACTTATTTGAATAAATAAAATGTGGGCTAACAGTGTATACATAAACATTACAAAAATATAAGCAATTATAAATGATGGTCTCTATCATCATTTTTTCAACTTTTTTCATTTTATGAGAAAGCAATACAAGTTTGCCTACACATTGTTGGGAAGAAGTGAGATCTGTCTTATTTGCAATGAACCTGGCCTTAAATTAAATTCAATCCAATGGAGTAGATGTAGAAGGGATGGAGTGATGATATGATCGATTTTCTTCTCTTTAATATTATGAACAGGTCGATTTGCCAGATACGCTTAACAATCTCTCACTGAGGGCAGTGGCGCAAAAAGGGGGTATGCAGTATACGCGACGCATAGGGGCGCCACACATGGGGGGCGCCATTGTGCCAAAACTATTATTGTAATTATCCATATTAAAAGTTTCTAATAATAAACATTAATAAATACATTTTTGTTAATGCTTATTTAGCATTTTATACCGTATAATATTACATTTTATTAAATAAAAAAATCATTCTCCCCATTTTTCATACCATATACATGTTTTTATGAATTTATTATGTATCATATTGATTCATCAGACCTTTTGGTAACTTTTTCTCAAAACTATTTTAATTTTAGCTACAAACAAAGTTTACCCATAAGATTTTAATAAAATAGAAAACTTCGGGCAGTTTGTCTGCGTTTGTTTTTTACACTAAACAGTTTACAGTCTTTTTTATGTTTCTTAGTGAGAGGTGTAATAGCCGTTTCAGTCAATTGTTCATGCAAAGACAGACCTTACACCTCTCACAGAGAAGTAATTGCAAAGTTCTTTTGCCCTTTACGACTCCCATGTCTATCATTTTGTTTTGCCGAATGTAGTACAAAAAGTCCAAAAGCAAAGCAAGTTAAGGTGCTATAATCATTTATATAATTATCATACTGTATAATCAAAGCACAGTTACACTGCTGGCTATCAGGTTGCAATTCCACATCGCACAAACACTTTGGTGGACACGAGCACTGACTGCGCCTCTTGCTATGTGACTAACTTTGTTGACCAAGTCTGTTCTGGTTTACTATCCACTGGTTGACTGTTAGGGGGCAGCCATGGCATTCTTGTATTTTCTCAAAAGTACATGTTCAAGCCCTTTTCAACTTCGAGCACTAGCCCCTTGAATGGTCTCTGCATGGTAATGCTAACAGCAGACAGTCATCGGTTCTTTTGAACCTTTGCAATACATCTGGAACAATTAGATAGATTGTTCCAATCTGTCACTGCCATTTTCAAAATACATTTCAAGACACACACAGACACACTAGCAGCATTATGGATGTGATGTGCCACTATTCCAATATGTCTTTTTAGCTTTCTGTTGTGGTTATTTTTTGGTCAATAGTTGTTGATTATCTCTTGTAGGAATCTGCTGCTGTACCTACTGTGCCTGTGTACTCTGCTCAAGTACACAACTGCAGGTTAGTAGCACATCCTATTTCAATGACTTATGCTTGAATGACTTACAGTTGAGAATAGAGAGACATATTACCCAAGTCTTATCAATTCTGTCTACACAGTTGCAGAGCTCAGTGACTGTACAGCTGGCGGGACCATATGCCATACTAATGCAGACTGCTTCAAAACACTTGATGATAAGTTTGTCTGCATGTGCCAAATGGGGTACAGGGGCACAGGAGTGCAATGCCAGGACATTGATGAGTGTACTACTGGTCTACACAGCTGCCATGCAAAAGCAGTCTGCACTAACACTCTTGGTAGTTATACCTGTTCATGTCAAAATGGATATTCTGGCGATGGATTCCAATGCCAAGATATCAATGAGTGTCAAACTAATAATGGTGACTGCCATGCCAATGCACTTTGCACCAACAAAGATGGAGGAAGAGACTGCAGCTGCAGGTCTGGTTTCAGTGGAAACGGTTTTCAGTGTACGGATGATAATGAGTGTGCAAGACCAGGAATCTGCCACTGGAATGCCACTTGCACCAACAACCCTGGTTCCTACGTGTGCACGTGCAACTCTGGCTATAAAGGAAATGGAAATTATCTCTGCCTAGATGTCGATGAGTGTTCAGAGACACCTGGTGTGTGCTCTGCTTTATTGGGATATAAAGGTTGCAAGAACCTGCAAGGAACCTACACCTGCCTCTGTAACAGTGGCTATCAAAGCAATGGACAGACATGTGTGGACATCAATGAATGTCAAATCAACTTCTGCAGCCCATTTGCTGATTGTACTAACTTGCCAGGCTCATATCGATGCACCTGTCCTGAAGGATTTAATGGAAACGGCTTGGCATGTGTAGACATCAATGAGTGTGATAGAAAGAACAGCTGTGACCCCAATGCATTATGTACAAATCTGCTTGGAAGCTACAAATGTTCCTGCCGCTCTGGGTTCCTGGGTATTGGTACAAAGTGCACTGACATTAATGAATGTGCCACCGATAACATTTGCCCAGCCGTTGCTGCATGTGTCAACACAGCAGGTTCATTCTTCTGTGACTGTGGTCAAGGGTATAACTTTACTCAAAATCAGTGTGTAGATTTGGATGAATGTGCCATAGGACTTTGCAGTCCTTATGCTTCTTGTGAAAACATGCCTGGTTCATACAAATGCTCGTGCATAGCTGGTTTCAAAGGTGATGGGCTTGTATGCGAAGACGTGGATGAGTGCGTCACAGAAAAGCGATGCCATGTTAATGCACTCTGTATAAATTCACCAGGGAAATACAACTGCAGCTGCATGGTGGGATATACAGGCAATGGTGTGTCGCAGTGCACAGATATAAATGAGTGTCTTGTTGATAATGGTGGCTGCAAAAACAGAGCAACATGTTCCAACAGTAAGGGGTCTTATTCTTGCATTTGCCCCTCAGGCTTTCGGCTAGTCAATCATACCACCTGCCAGGACATAGATGAATGTCAGCTTCCTGAAAAGGTTTGTGGCACCAACGAGCAGTGCACCAACCTGGAAGGATCATATTCATGCCAGTGTAAAGCAGGTTTCAGTCGAATCATTGATGACTTCTGCTCTGATATTAACGAATGTGACATTCAGAAACCTTGTCATCAAAATGCCACATGCTTGAATTTGGTAGGCTCCTACTCATGTACCTGCAAAAGTGGCTTCAAGGGAAATGGTGTAACATGCGAAGACATAAATGAATGTGCACTTGGTGGTATATGCCATCTACATGCTAATTGCTACAATTATATTGGGGAATACTTGTGTGTATGCCACCAGGGTTTTACAGGTGATGGTGTCACCTGTACAGATGTAGATGAATGTTATGTTTCAAATGCTACTTGCCCAGGAATCTCTGTATGTGTCAATTCGTTGGGAGCATATGTCTGTTCGTGTCTGAACGGGACAGTAGCATACAACAACACCTGTGTCTTCCCTAGTCTTGAATGTGATCCTGCCTGCCATCCGCATGGACTCTGCCATCCGTCACCTTCTGGCTTTCAATGTGTGTGTGATGTTGGATTCAAAGGGGATGGACTCACTTGCTCAGACATTGATGAATGTGAAGAGAATGTGTGCCCAGAGAAAGAGACACAATGTGTCAATAATCCAGGATCTTTTGAATGCACATGCAAAGAGGGTTATTCTTTCAATGGAACCAAATGCACAGGTAGGTGCATTTTTAATTAATTGTTGATTATTAATTATGTTTTTATTAAACATTTAGCCTGAAAACTATCTTGAATGCACTGTAAACCAATAAAGGAAAAAGGTCTATTGAGTCAAAAATGATATCTCTCAATCTTTCAGATTTGGATGAATGTGAATCTGGAGTCAGCAACTGCAGCAAGTTTGCACAGTGTGTCAATACAGTTGGGAGTCACCTGTGCTTCTGTCTCAGTGGCTTCACTGGTGATGGAAAAAACTGCTCTGGTAAGTCTCTCTTCCTTTTCGAAATTCTTTTGTGCACGTCTTTGCTTGCTTGAAGACTTTTTTCTTAGTCTTTTAGGGATTGTTTTCCTCACCCTGTCCCATTTTGGATGACTTATAGACATTAATGAGTGCCACTTCCAAAATGGAGGATGCCATCCAGTTGCAAGCTGCACTAACTCCCCTGGATCCTTCAAGTGCACCTGTCCGCTTGGCATGACCGGGTCTGGGTTTGATTGTCAGGATGTGGACGAATGCAACGCAAACTCAACTTTGCCTCATAACTGCAGTCTCCTCTCCACATGCCATAACACAGAGGGTTCCTACATTTGCAAGTGCATGGAGGGATACTGGGGAAATGGGTTTACTTGTAGTGATCTGGATGAGTGCTTTCCACCTTCAATCTGTGGGAACAACATGACCTGTCAAAACTTCCCTGGAACATTTACCTGCACATGCACCCTTGGTTTGGTCTATGATCTGGGTACCTGTGTGACTGAGAAGGACTGTAAGAATGCAACTAATGCATGCAACATCTATGCTGAGTGCAAAAACGTCCATGGGTCAAACTATTGCTCTTGCATGAAAGGATTCCATGGAAATGGTAGAGACTGCAAGGATTTAGATGAATGTTCACAAATAGGAGCTTGCCCAAATTTGTCCAACTGTTTTAACACAGAAGGATCATTTCATTGTGACTGCTTGCAAGGTTACCAGTACAATGGGACACACTGTGATGACATAAATGAGTGTAGTGTAGGAAACTTTAGTTGCCCTGTCAACAGCACTTGCTACAATGAAGTTGGAGGGTATAATTGTTCATGTAACAATGGTTTCATCTACTCCTACAACTCTGTGTGTTTGGATGTCGATGAATGTGCCACAGGGAAAGCACAGTGCCCAAATGCCTCAAACTGCCACAATACCGTGGGATCGTATTATTGTGAGTGCTGGGATGGGTATATAGGCAATCAGACAATCTGCGAAGATGTCAATGAATGCCTGAACAATTCTAGGTGTTCAGACCACAGTATCTGTGTTAACACCCTAGGTTCATTTATGTGCCTTTGCGATGATGGATTCACCCTTAATGGTACCAGTGATACCCAATGTGAGGACATAGATGAGTGCTCAAACCCAGACAATGGGTCAATCTGCACTAATGGGACCTGCCTAAACACAATTGGCTCGTTTGGCTGTGTTTGTGATATGGGATTCAGGAGCAATGGAACTAGCTGTTTTGACATAGATGAGTGTTCAGGATCACAGAATGAATCGATATGTCAACTCCACTCTACATGTTCCAACATCCCTGGGTCTTATAAATGTCACTGTGACTCAGGTTTCCTGCTTAACAGAACAGAATGTCAAGACATTGATGAATGCCTTGCAGATGACAGTCCCTGCACTGCCAACTCTGTATGTATAAACTCAGTTGGGTCTTTCCGTTGTCTTTGTGCATCTGGTTTTAAGGAGGACGGACTAAAGTGTACAGATATCAATGAATGCCTTTCAAATGGAACCTGTCGTCCTGATCAGGTTTGCATCAACAAACCTGGATCATACCTGTGCTCCTGTCCACCAGGACATCAAGAGGAAAGTGGTAACTGCATCGACAACAATGAATGTGCAAATAACACTACCTGCCACCCTCTGGCGAGATGCTGGAACACAGTGGGGACTTTCACATGCCAATGTCGCTTAGGTTACGTTGGGAATGGGACATACTGTAAAGACATTGATGAGTGTTCCACTTCTTCCTCACGTTGCCACAAGTCAAGCAAATGCATCAATACCCCAGGGTCTTATGTATGTGTGTGTGCAGCAGGTTTTGTTGCATTAGGTTCTGTTTGCGTAGATCTTGATGAATGTCAGGCCAATAGAGGTATATGCCATCCTGCTGCCACATGCTACAACTCCATAGGTGGGTTTCAATGCCAATGTGGCAATGGTTGGGATGCCTCAGTTGGAAATGGACGTGGAATGGGTGGATGCATAGACCAGAATGAGTGTCTCTCACCCAATGTGTGTTATAGAAACAGAACCTGCACCAATTTCATAGGATCGTACAGCTGTGCCTGCTCTCCCAGAGATACCCACTGTTCACAGCTATCACTGATGGGTGGGCTATTATATTACATTTGTGAAATATTATGTGTGTTAAATAATACATCAATATTTAGTTTTAATATGCAGTATTTACATAAATTCTGGAATAACATGATGCAGACTCAAGCCTGATTTATACTTCTGCGTCAAGCGCACACGTATGCTACGGAGCTGCCTACGTGTTGACGCATAGCCCTACACTGTGGCCGTCAGCTGGCTGATGCGCACCTCTCAAAAAATTTAACTACACGTTGCAACGACACGTAGTGCAAGCTTTGTGATTGGTCGGGTTGGTAGCGTTGACGAGTCTGGGCGGGATCGAGAGCTGCGCGAGCCCGATGAATCGATTGTTTACAAGTGTGGAGTCCCGTAAAGGAGCTCCGGATGAAAAGTTTTGTTTTGTGTTTACCTCATGGTTAAAGTTGTTGCACATCCGCCAGTTCCTGCCTCAAAATGAGCGAGTTTGAGCCACTTGTACATTAAGTAAGCGTTAAGAAAAAGCAAAACACTAGCGAAGAAACTCCACAAAGACCAACATTAACACCTTACTGCCAACTAGCGTTTCGGAAGTGTTATTGCAGAACAACAGAAACAGCTCGCAGAAGTATGAATACATTGCATGCGCCGTAGGTCATGCCGATCACTTGACGCAGAAGTATAAACCAGGCTTTATGTGACATGATGGCTACAATCATATCAGGATCTCCCCTTGATATTGCTGTTTAACATTGATTTGTGACTGCCATTTCAATATTATATAAATATCCAATGCAATCTCACAGCAACTTTTTGATTTAGTTGCTAATTTGTATGAATTCGTACGATCTAATTCATACAATTTAGTATGATTTGCTCATCACCCAATGACGGTTGGGGTTAGGGGTGGGGTTGGATGCCAAGCCTCCTTTTTAAAATCGTACATTTTCGTACAACTGAACTCAACAAATTTGTACGAATTAGCCATTAAACTGACAAAATGTAAAATACTTACGTTTCCTTGTGAGATCAAGCTGGAATATAATAAAGTAAATAAACAAAAACTTAGAATAAACTTTACTCCATTCCAGACATGAAACAGCTAAATTTTATTGTACAAAGGTCAAACTATTGAAAAATTTTGTGATCAGAAGGTGCAGATTGTTTTTGTGACCATCAAACAACAGTGGCTAACCAAGCATTTTGGTTGCGTTTTGTATATACTTTCACAGAAAGTGACCTGTATCCATTTGGAGAGGAAGCAGGTGATGCCAAGTTAACAATAACAACGGCAGATGGAATTTCTCCATACATCTTACCTCCTACAGGCTTCCTATTCATGGGCAAACAATATGAACGACTATTAGTAAGCATGCCCAAATAACTGTTCACATTTTAATGACAATTCAAAGATGAATGAATTTGAATTTGGTAAATTATTGTACCATAAATACATTGTAACTATAGGAAACTGTGTTTAAGTTAATAGAGTCTTGATTTATTTTTAGTTTTCAGATAATGGCCTGGTGCAGTTTCAGTCAGTCAATGAGAATGAAAAACTGTTGCTCCCTGCTCCAATCCCAAAGGGGTTTCATGGTAATGAAAGCCTGCCTATGTTAGCAGTGTTCTGGGATGACGCAGACCTTACACTTGGGGATGGAAAACTGCTATACCAGGTTAGTTTCACAAAAACATAATGTCAACTAATCGTATGGTCTTGTTTAATGTTGAGGGAACCACACAACTAAAGTGTTTAAAGTCTGTAAACTAAAGCAGACATTAATCAAACAGTCTACTAATACTTAAGAGAACCTTCAAAATAACACAGTTTATTTACTTTTTAATTTGAATCCAGTGGGTTAATCTGATTTTAAGGAGATATGCTAGTTAAATATTTGAAATTTGATTTCAGGTTGTATATACAGTAGTTCCACCCTGTGTAAGACAATATTTTGACAAGGCTAAAAGAACGCATTGTTTAAACTTCAATACTAAATTAAGACTCTATCCACTTCTCATATATACAAAGTGTATATATTTCTGTATATGCCTAATAAAAATGAGATTAAATTTATATTTTTAAATGACAAATATTTAAGTTTCTCTTGCCTTTTCACATATTTTCGTATGAATTATGGAAATCTTGGTAAGCATTCTCCTTTTCTGTCCAACAGGAATACAGTTTCCCCAATGTACCTGATATCTATGCTTTGACAGTGTTTAACAGAACAGCACAAGACGTTAGCAGATTTGAGTCTCAAAGGGGCAAACCCCCGTTTACTCCTATTTGGATACTGAAAATCACATGGGATCATGTTTTACCGGTATCCTATCAAAAGATCAACTTGTCTGAGGTGAGTGCTTGATGACTGAACACTAAGCAAGTTAAAGCATTATTAAGATACAATTAATAGTATTTGCTAATGCAGACACCACCATTACTATTATTAATATTGTTCATAATTTGAGTCAGGTATGACATTACAAACTAAAGTTAACATTAAGTTTTATACTTTTAATAATTTTTAGTATTTTTTTATCTTTTATTTTTACTTCAATTGGGTAAGGTAAATTGTCCGTAGTGTATGAGTGTGATTGAGTGTGTATGGATGTTTCCAGAGATGGGTTGCAGCTGGAAGGGCATCCGCTGCGTAACATATGCTGGATAAGTTTGCGGTTCATTCCGCTGTGGCGACCCCTGATTAATAAAGAGACAAAAATAAAATAGGCCTAAATGAATGAATTTTTACTTTATTAAATACCTAAACAACATACTGTACCCTGGAAACAAGCCTGGGCTAATTTTTGGGCCCCCAGTGGCCATGAGCAGCACACTGGAAACACTCACTAAGCCCACACCTAGCCCACACCTTTGTTGTCAATGCTACTAGAAATGATTGTGTTTTACAGTTACTCTATCCCCTCGGCCATTTACATATATTTTCCATCTATTACAAATAAAGGAGGACACGGTGGCTCAGTGGTTAGGTTGCTGGTTGATAAGTTGGTGGTTCATTCCGCAGTGGCGATCTCTGATGAATGAAGGGATTAAGCAGAAGGAAAATGAATAAATGAATGAAAGATGTTTAACAGAGCAAGCAAATTGTCACAGTATTTCCTATAATTTTTTTTTCTTCTAGACAAAGTCTTATTTGTTTTATTTTGGCTAGAATAAAAACAAATTATGTCGATATTATTAGCCCTAGCTTGCTGATTCAAATGATCTTTTCAGAGTGTATGTCTAGTAAATGATTCACTTATCTGATCCATGTGGAGTTCAGCAGGTGAATGTGATTTCGTATGTTTTATCTTGCATTATCATGAAGCTGTGTTTTAATCCATCTGCAGAAAGTTTCATATTACTCAAACATCTCAACAATCTAAATTTTAATCTTAAATCTAAAAATATAAATCTAAAGTTTTTTTCTTCCCGCCACTGTCACCACTGACTTGCTTGGATTGGGACTTGTGGAGCTGCATATCGGTGAATTTTCTCTACAGTGTTTGAACTTTCAGCAATTTAAATCACACTGAATTAAACTAAACTGAACCTCAACTCTGAAATCTGGACTTTACAAGAACTATGTTAAGCTGCGTTCAGACAGTCTACATTGTGAAAAGCTCTGTATAAATAAACATGAATTGAATTGAATTGTAAGGCAAAAACCCAAGTTAGGGCTCTATTTTGATGGTCCATGCGCAAAGCACAGGGTGCAAACACTTTCAGGGCGTGTCAGAATGAATTTTTGCTAATAAAAGGACGGGAAAATCCACTTTGTGCCGTGGCGCATGATCTAAAAGGGTTAAGTTTATTTTCTTAATGAGTTAGAGGTGTGTTTTGAGAATAAACCAATCAGAGTCTCATCTCCCATTCCCTTTAAAAGTCAGTTGTGTCGTGCCATAAGCGCATTTGCTATTTCCATTACGTAAAGTAAGTGAAAGTGGAAAAACTGAGCACTTCACAAGCAAGAAAACTTGAGATAGAGATAAATAAATAAATAAATGAGATTTCACTTTCGCTCTCGTGAATAGTAAACCTTCACACATAGACATCAGTTAGCCCAAAAATAATTCATTTTGTTTGTTAAGCGCAAAGATTTGTTTCAAACCTATTTCTAAATTTAGTTCTAATTTCCAGCAAACAAATAAATGAACAATAATAACGAAGTGTGCTCAAAAACCTGAGTTATATCCTTAAAACACATGCTGTGCCCCATATGGTGTAAAACCTGCAGGTGGGCAAATCTAAGCTTGTTTTTAATAAAACAAATATAAATATGGATATAATAAATATTACTGCTAATAATAATAACATTACACAAAAGCAAATTGTTATGAATGAACTGAAAAAGCCTCCCGAGATGAAGAAGGCATAAAAGAAGCGTTTTTTGAATTTATGTAGGCTAGAAAAAAATGTGTTTTTTAATATTTTAATCCTTTATATTTAAATCCTATATATATCCTTAATTTTTACAATTTTTTTCATATGTAAAGATATTTGCGTATTGCTCTACATCTTGTGTGTATTAAGCAGTGTGTAATCGAGGTGCAACTCTGCGCTGGACTTTAGACCTTGGTTTGTTTTGGTCTAATGAAAAATCTATTATAGTTTCTCAAAATAGCAACGCGCCAGCAATGCGCCTCAACACACCTCCTTTTTAGACCAGAACACCTATGTGCGCACATATGAGCGCAAATGCATTTGCTATTTAAACAGTGTGGCGCAGCGCCTCAAAACGACTCTTGCGCCAGGCTGAAACTAGCAAAAGACTATTGCGTCACACCTTGCACCACATTGCGCCATGTGTATGATAGAGCCCATAATGTCACAGGCAAAGTAGTCAAAACACACTCCAACCAACAAACAAACCAAAAAGGTAATCCAAGAAACAATTATTCAAAAAAAAAAATGAATTGCAGGTATAGCAGCCCTAGTAGCAAAGAATTCTGGCCCAGATTTGGCAAAAAGCTGGCACAGCAGGCATTCATCCGGCACTGGCATACAACATGTGGGCCAAACATGGCCCGGGTTTGGCAGAGGTGGCACCGTTTTTAAGGCGGCACACAAGATTTGGGCCAGATGAAAAACGTAGTATTTGGCCCAGAATTTAAAATTTGATAAGTGGGCCATGTGAGTTTGGCCAGTCTTGACCCACATTTAAAATACACTAAAATCATTTTTGAGTAAAGAAAAAAAATTCTACCAATCAGGTCACTTTGAGAAAAAGCGTGCCCATAGTGTGCCTAAAGCGCATCACTCCATGGGTTTATCAATTTCATTGCAATCGTGACACACCAACCTATCTGGCCCAGTTCAGGCCCAGTTATGAGTTATTAACTTGGCTGAGACTTGGCCCAGATATGGTCTGTGTTTGGCCCTTGTCTGGAAGCCAGATTTGGTCCAGTCATGTACCGTAATTCACTGCGGCATGTGGGCCTAGCAAAACCTGATTGTGTGGGCCAGAGCTGGGCCCGAGAAATTTTGCTATGTGGGAGGCTAACAACCAGGTTAAGATTAATCCTTTCAGTTCTCTAATTTCTACAAGAAATTATTGTGTTTTCCTCTGTGAATGACCGCTAATCACTAATTAAAATCCATTTTATCCTGTTTTCTACAGACCAACACTTTCCAGTGCATTTTGACCACAGATGGATTACGTTCATTTGCTCTGCTTCGCTACGGTGACATGAACTGGGGTCCAGGACAAAGAACCCATCATGATGCTCTTATAGGCTACACAGATGGCAAAAACAACTTCCATAATGAGATTCCAAATCCGCCAAACAACTTGTTCAACTCTGGAGGGCGATATCGTCCTCAAACTGTGACAGGTAACACAGGCGAACTGGGGAAGCTGGTGTATGACTTGACAGGATCTGATAAAACCAGCTCAGATCCACAGAGGCAATGCCATATATGGGCCTTCAGTGAGCCAGATCCTAAAGAATGGGCATTAGGACTGGCAACATGTCCCTGTACTCGTGTACAGGCACAAGAAGATCTGGCCTTTGGCCCTGAGACTCTACCATCAGAACAGACTGCACAAGTGAGGGACCTGAGAAGTATGAGATGGGGTGGCAAAAGGGGCCGTGTCGTTCAGTCCATCCTCTTTAACAAACAAAGAGCAGGAAAGAGATGCCTGTATGATCCAGAGGGACCCCTGCTGGCTGGATACAGTGAAAGGTTCTTTACTGAAGACAAGGCACAACAACATATAGGTAAAGTGATTCCAAAGCTTCAGGGAGTAATGGAATACAACTAACTTATTTAGAGAATGTAGTATTGAATAGTATTTCATTTCTGTTATATTTTAAACAGGTGGTTATTGAATTACAGTTTCATCCAAAAAGTATTTGACAGTTTTTTTCCAATTGTTTGCACACAATTACTTGTACTTCAGACACAATGACTACAACATGTAACTGATGCATCAACCCCCTGAACCAATTCTGCTAATCTGCAACCACAATTCCTGTTTTACACTCAAATTGCAGGTTTAAAACACACTTTTTTTTTTTTAAACACTACACACTTCTCGGCATTTTGCACAATTTTCAGAAAATCTCTCAGATTTTTGCGGAAAATCTCTTGTTTTCACAAGGAACACACTGTCATTCACAATTGTAAAGTCAGTTGTCCTACTTTGCATACTAACTCATCACACGAGTAAACACCTGTCACACAGAATTGCAATTTAGAAATCAGAGCTCATCTGGTTCACATGTAGTCTACTGCCCACCCATGTTTTTTAGTTGTGTATCTCCCCCTCCATATTCTCCATTCCTCAAACCTACTGAGCACTTTTCTCTGCCTGGAGATCAAAAGTGTATGACTGAAATCCACACACACGTATACCCCTTCTCTAAGCTATAGCAGTTGATGCTTTTTGTGGCTGGATTCGCCATGCAAGGTGACATTTCCCCCACTGCTTGGGCAGACCAAAACAGAAAAGAGGATGCAGTATAGCTGTTTTTTACTGTAACTGTATTCAGTAAATACTTCTGTTGATGGCATATGTAGATCACGTTATCTCCAATTTTGTGTTGGTTGGGATGAACACTGTGTACACTGTTTTTGTGGGGAAAATACAGTAAAATATATTTGGTATTTGTATGTTTTGTATAAAAACAATATTCAGAAATATTTTACAATGCACTTATGTAGGCCTACTGTCTGTAGAAAGTGTAACACTGAACAAATAAGGCGTACAGAAAGTCATTATGATGAATGGAGAAGAAGTGGTCGTAGTGTTTTACATTAAGCACATCAGTGTTCAACTGATCTCATGAATATCTGTCTATTCATGTGATGGTTTGTGTGTGTCATCTGAAAACAAAATATAATTTTGAGAAGAAATCACATTGTTTTGAACGTAGAGTTTCATTTTTCAGAAGAATTGAAGAGTTTTGCCTAATGTGTGTCAGTTTTGTGATTTGTGAGTAGAGTTCTGACAATATGAGACCTGCTTTCAGAAAATGTGTGTAAACAATTGGAAAAAAGTATTAATTACCAAAGTGATTATTTTTGAATTTCAATCTCATTTAGACATTAATGTCAACTGTAATTAATGTAAGCTGCAATTAACATTAACGTTTTTACTTTGACATTCATAAGAAAATAAGAGGGATCATAATTCTGTGTGGGTGACACAGAGGTGCAGTGGGTAGTGCTGTCGCCTCACAGCAAGAAGGTCTCTGGTTCGAGCCTCGGCAGAGTCAGTTGGCGTCCAGATTAATAAAGGGACTAAGCCGAAAAGAAAATTAATGGATGAATAATTAATTTATTAGTCCCTTTATTAATCTGGGGCAGCCACAGCTGCAACCCATCTCTAGGAAACATCCACACTCACTCACACTAATACACTATGGACAATTTAGCCTACCCAATTCACCTGTACTGCATGTCTTTGGACTGTGGGAGAAACCGGAGCACCCGGAGGAAACCCACGTGAACGCAGGGAGAACATACAAACTCCACACAGAAATGCCAACTGACTCAGCCGAGGCTCGAACCAGTGACCTTCTTGCTGTGAGGCGACACTACCTACTGTGCCACTGCGTCACATGAATAATTCTGTGTAAGCTATTTCACATATGTTCACATATTCTCCTTAATAGAAAATAAGAGACTCAGGAAAATCACTTAAAATGGGGTCATTTTTATAAATTCAACTATTATTTTCTCTTGTGTACTAATGTATATACAGTTAAAGTCAGAATTATTAGCCCCCCTGTTTATTTCCCCCCATTTTCTGTTAAACAGAGAGATTTTTTCAACACATTTCTAAACATAATAGTTTTAATAACTCATTTCTAATTTATTTTATCTTTATAACTGATTTATTTTATCTTTGCCATGATGACAGTAAATAATATTTGACTAGATATTTTTCAAGACACTTCTATACAGCTTAAAGTGACATTTAAAGGCTTAACTAGGTTTATTAGGTTAACTAGGCAGGTTAGGGTAATTAGGCGAGTTATTGTATAACGATGGTTTGTTCTTTAGACTATCTGAAAAAAAAAAGCTTAAAGGGGCTAATAATTTTGACCTTAAAATGTGGTTTAAAAAATTAAAATTGTTTCTATTCTAGCCAAAATAAAAATAATAAAAAATTCTCCAGAAGCAAAAATATTTTCAGACTTTTTAGACTTTCAGACTTTTTTATTATCATTTCATTGCTTTATTTGGGAAATATTTAAACAGGAAAAAAATTGAAGGGGGGCTAATAATTCTGAATTCATCTGTATAGTTTTGAAGTCAGAATTATTTGCTTTGAATTTGAATGCTTTTATTTGCCTTTGAATTTTTTTTCTTTTTTTAAATATTTCCCAAATGATGTTTAACAGAGCAAGGAAATTTTCACAGTATGTCTGATAATATTTTTTCTTCTGGGTAATCTCTTATTTGTTTAATTTTGGTAAGAATAAAAGCGGTTTTTAATTTAAAAAAAAAAAACATTTTAAGGTTAAAATGATTAGCCCCTTTAAGCTATATATTTTTTTGATAGTCTACAGAACAAACCATCATTATACAATAACTTGCCTAATTACCCAAATCTGCCTAGTTAATATACATATATATATATGACTCATTATGACTTTTTCAAGTTTTTTTTAGAGTCCATTTTAAATTAAATATTAATTCTAACCTTGCCAGATTTATTTTCATGTTGTTTCTAGACAATGATCTACTACCCTTTCAATGGTGCTGTGTTCAATCACCTCTTTGTGATGTCTACTTGGCAAAGAGACCACTAGACCGGTGCCAAGGGTATAGCTGGAACAGCTCTGACAGCAGTATACCTGGGAACAGGGGAGCACCAGGAATTGGTAAGAATGCTATGCCCCATCAACTCCTTTATGCAAGACTACCAGGGGATATAATGCTATTAAAAGAAGTATGGAAGAAACAACAAATCAATTAAAATTGATATACTATTTTGATTAAATAAATAATAGACAGCATTAATAATTCAATGATACAAGTGGAATTGCTGCATTATATATGTATAATAAAAAAACAACATAAAACTTCTAGAGTTAATACATTTCTGTCAGATTTTGTCATTTTTTAAGAAATTAGCCTACCTGTTTTTCTTTTTCCATGTAGGCATGGTGTATGGTAGTCTTCATTTTATTACCTTTGATGGAAGTGAATATACCTTTAAAGCCGTGGGGGAGTATGTTATACTTCGTCTCTCCTCCAGCACGGGATCAAACATCTTCACTCTTCAAGGACAAACAGTGGCTCTGGTGGTCAATGGGCAGGCCAAACAGGTACCTGCTCTGGTACGATTAGCCGCCTTCCACCAGGGTGCTGGAAAGGTGAGTCTGACATTTCTAACATAAAATGCAGGTGGACAGGTATAAGTGTGGTTGTCACAATGTAAAGACCATCAAATGATTTCTCTTAAGGTTGAGTGGCGATGTGCTGAATCTGGGGATGGGCTTGCGATCTTGGTTAATGATAAGGTCATTCCTGTGTCTGTTGGTAAGGAGACTTCATTTTACATGCTCATGCAAAGAGATAACAATGCTGTTCTTTTATTGTAAACACTAGTCTTAAATTATTACAGTCATTTAGAAAAACAAGTCATGGAATGGCTTTGTCTAACATTACTATTCACAACAAGTCTTCTCTGTGCCTGTGGATAGAAAAGTAGCCTTCATTGCTGTGGAACCTGTAGGTTATTTAGGTACTTTCTAACTACTGTTTGATGAATACTGTCAATTTGGACATGCTAATCTTTTCACCTACTGTTTTAGCCTGCTATACCGTAGGAAAGTCAGGTGTGCGATTTCAGGTGCTCCGCCTGTATTGGTTTTAACTTAGCACCCTCTGCTGTTTTTACAGGAGTGGTGCATGTAGAGGAGGAGGCCTTCGCAGTGCGCTGTACCTCTGCGAGTCGCTGTGGAGTTGTGTATGGTGAAGGCCTGAATGTGGTCGTTTGGAGAGGTGATGGTGGGAGGTTGTCCGCTCTGGTGGAGGTTCCTCAGAGGTTCTACAATCGTACACTGGGTTTGCTGGGCCAATGGAGCTCAAACAGGATAGATGACTTCCTGCTTTCTAATGGCCGTCTGGTGCCTGTTTTAAATAACAACACTCCTTCTGAGCAGATTCTGCTTTCCTTTGGACAGTCATGTATGTGTATTCTTTCGTTTTCCTCAGTATTATATTAGTGAGATAATGTGAATATGGTAGAAACTGCAGTTTATGTCAAATGAATTACTACATTCAACATTAAGAAGCATTATATTGCCATTCATTCTTTTATAATTTGCTGTCCCTACTGAAAAATCCGGCTTAAACCAGCCTAGGATGGTTGGCTGGTTTTAGCTGGTCGACCAGCCTGGTTTTAGAGGGGTTTTTGCCACTTCCAGCCTGGTTTTAGCTGGACAGGCTGGGAGATGACCAGCTAAGACCAGCTTGACCAGCCTAGCCAAGCTGGGAGCCCAGCCAAAACCAGCTATGTCCAGCTTAAACCAGGACGGTCAAGCTGGTTTTAACTGGTCACTTTCCAGCCTGGCCAGCTAAGACCAGGCTGGAAATGGCTGGAAACCAGCCTGGCGGTGACCAAAACCCCTCTAAAACCAGGCTGGTCGACCAGCTAAAACCAGCCAACCATCCTAGGCTGGTTTAAGCTGGATTTTTCAGCGTTGGTAGCTACCAAGTATCCAGTAACAATCACCAGTTGTTTTGGATGTTAATGAGCTTGTGTAGGTATCCAATCCAGAGGGTGCTATAGGAGTTTTAAATTCCTTTGTAATGTCCTTGTGATGTCATGAACATTAATAACAATCATATGGGAAACTAGGTGAATTGAAAAATTGTTGTTTACAGGACAACTCTGCATTTTTCTCTAAGATGTTTTGAGAGGCCACTGAATTTATGCATACTTGTGTTTTTCTACAGGGGCTGTTCCGGCTCCAGAGAGCCTTCTGTTCTCAGAACCTCCTAGTACTCCATTCAATCCGGTCATGACCGAGCAAGTGATGTCCTCAGTGAGCCCAGATGTGCTGGCCAAACACAGCCAGGCTTGCCAGGGCAACATGCAGTGTGTGCATGACATCCTGGCCACAGGAAATTCAAATCTCGGCAAGGATGTTCTAAGAGACCAGCAGCAGCTTCAAAACCTAACACAAATATATGGTTAGATGACTTTCTTCCTTTATCTCACATACATATCTGGTAACACTTTACTTGAAGGGGTGTTCATAAACATGATACGTCACATTATGAATATAAATGAGATTTTTAGGGTTCGTGTGAAGAAAACCAAATCCTGTCCATTTTCAAAACTCAGCTAAGGTGCCCTTGAGCAAGGCGTCTAACACCTAACTAGTCCCTAGTTATTAAATGCATTAGTAAATCATTTAAATATGACAACTTGACACATGGCTTCCCAGTGGCGCAGTGGGTAGCATGATCGCCTCACAGCAAGAAGGTCACTGGTTTGAGCCTCCGCTGGGTCAGTTGGCGTTTCTGTGTGAAGTTTGCATGTTCTCGGTTTGCATTTGTTGGTTTCCCCTAAAGTCCAAAGACATGTGGTACAGGTGAATTGGGTAGGCTAAATTGTTCATAATGTATGTGTGTGAACGGGAGTGTATGGGAGTTTCCCAGTAATGGGTTGCAGCTGGAAGGGCATTCGCTGCGTAAAACATATGCTGAATATGTTGGGGGTTCATTCCGCTATGACGACCCTGGATTATTAAAGGGACTAGGCCGAAAAGAAAATGATTGAATGAATGAACTTTACACATTATACAGTGCATCATATCCTGTCTTGACTTAACTTATCATAAATTATCATACATTTTTCTGATCACTTTCTCAGTGTCATTCATTCATTCATTCATTTTCTTGTCGGCTTAGTCCCTTTATTAATCCGGGGTTGCCACAGCGGAATGAACCGCCAACTTATCCAGCAAGTTTTTACGAAGAGGATGCCCTTCCAGCCGCAACCTTTCCCTGGAAAACATCCACACACACATTCACACACACACTCATACACTACGGACAATTTAGCCTACCCAATTCACCTGTACCGCATGTCTTTGGACTGTGGGGAAAACCAGAGTACCCTGAGGAAACCCACGGGAAGGCAGGGAGAACATGCAAACTCCACACAGAAACCCCAACTGAGCCCAGATTTGAACCAGCGACCCACTTGCTGTGAGGCGACAGCACTACCTACTGCGCCACTGCCTCGCCACTTTCTCAGTGTAACAAACTGAATTTGTCACAAAAAATTTATGTGTCAGTACTTGATATGATATTAGCTGAATATCATATCATGACACAATTATAATGACCATATAACAGTCATGTTTATGACAGATTTATGACATGTTACAGTATATTGTCTTGGTTGTGTCAGGTTTTTTTATAACTAAGACACTGACTGGATTTGTTGTCTTGGTAAGGTCAAGTTATCATAAAGACATCTTAAACAATGTAAACTTTGTATTTAAAAAGACATAACTATGAATTACACTTCCATGAATGATAACGATAAATCACACACCCAGCGCAATAATGCGCAGGAGGTGTATGGCACGATTTGTTGCAACTTTCAAACCAGCGCAACCCTAATTTTCACGTTTTGAAAATTTCTGGTGGATTCGTGAAAAACAAAAACTGCAACCAAAAAAAAAAAAGAGACCTACAGGGACTTATTTGGTGCTCTCCAGAAATGTATATAGGGATATATTTTCAAAATTGATCCTAGGTTGTTATTAAAACACATAAAACAACTGTTAACATTAAAAACATTGTAAAAAAAAGGCCTGTGTGATTTTCATAAGGTTAACAGTTAACAGTGTTTCCAATTGTGGTAACATTTTCCAAGATTTTCAAAAAGATCTCACTATAAATTTTTCATAAAATTCTAATTAGTTTCGAGATAATTGTGAGTGATAAAATGTTCTTCTTGGTATTTACAAAGCATTCCTTTAATAATTCAATGATTAAAATTAATTACATTCTTAGTGTTTTTTAATCAGTTCATTTCTTTTGCATGACTTCTACAGGGATCATGCCACCCATTGTGACCGAGCCACTGGTTATCATGTGCAAGGTTAACAGTACAGTTAAAGTTCAGTTCAAGGCCCAGGATCCAAACAGGGACCAAATCTTTTTTTCCCTGGCCTTGCCACGCTCTCCACAGGTCACCATCGGCAGCAGTAAGATATATTGCAAAACATTTTATTTTTAAAGCCTATTTACAGTGTAATATGCACGTCTGTGAGATTGTTAGATCTATTTCAAAAGATTTATACGGAGTTATTGCCATTAAACATTGTTCTCTACATTTTGGTTCATTAATATTTCACAACATGACTGATTGATTGTGTCATAAAGGTGATGGTGTCCTAGTGTGGACCCCTTCAAGTATTCAGCCAGTGAATCTGACCATTCAAGTGAGCGATCAAACATCTAGCTCATTGATCACACCAGTTCTGCGGCTCTGTAACTGTATGAATGGAGGGAGCTGTCAGTATAACAGTGTGGCCGAGAACCTTTTATTGGGAAAGTTCCAGGTAAGCCACAACCGTAACATTACACAAACAGTAGTCAGCTCAGCTGCAAAGAAACTGGCTTTGTGCGATTGTACCACCAGTTGGGAGTGCTCATGAACAAAAAAAGGGTCAAAGCTGTAATTTAAAGGATTGTTATTAAAATAAAAAATTACATTTCTGAATTTGAAAATACTTGTATATGTAATTTGTTTAAATGATGGTTAAACTCATATTCAGCAGTTATTACTTTAGTCTTCAGTGTCACATAATATTCCAGAAATCATTTTAATTTGCTGCTATAAATTGGAGCTAAGTTGGCGGTTCATTCCGCTGTAGCGACCCCGAATTAATAAAGGAACTAAGCCGACAAGAAAATGAATGAATGAATATAAGAAATATATATACAGTTGAAGTCAGAATTATTAGCCCCCCTCTGAATTTTTTTTCTTTTTTAATTATTTCCCAAATGATGTTTAACAGATTCAGGTAATTTTCACAGTATGTCTGATAATATTTATTCTTCTTATTTGTTTTATTTCGGCTTAAACAAAAATCATTTTAATGTAAAAATTATTAGCCCCTTTAAGCAATATTTTTTCCATAGTCAGAACAAACCATTATTATAAAATAACTTGCCTAATTACCCAACCTGCCTAGTTAACCTAATTAACCTAATTAAGCCTTTAAATTTCACTTTAAGCAGTGTCTTAAAAAAAATCTAGTCAAATATTATTTACTGTCATCATGGCAAAGATAAAATAAAAAAGTTATTAGAAATTAGTTATTATGTTTAGAAATGTGTTGAAAAAATCTTCTCTCCGTTAAACAGAAATTGGGGAAAAAATAAACAGGGGGTCTAATAATTCAGGGACTTCAACTGTATATATATATATATATATATATATATATATATACTTTATTAAAGTAAACATTTATTTTTCAACAAAATGCAATGCAAAGTGTTTGCAACCAACCTCCAAAAATCATATTTTCCCATTTTACTATACACTGATTTTTTTTAGAATGTACCAAGTTTTAACCTGGTGTGTACATTGGGGTTATTTGGGCACACAAATGTGGAATGCTCCGTAAAGACAGTCAAATATGTTTTTTTGTTTACATACATCTAGATCGTGGGATGTCTTTGTCCAGCGGGCTTCAGTGGCAAGTACTGTGAAAACAGAAGTGATGTGTGTAAAGGCAAACCCTGTTTTCCTGGTGCGGAATGCATAAGACAGAAAGAAGCAGACCTGTTTACGTGTGGACAGTGCCCTTCTCCTACTGTATCCCAGGACAAACAAGGATACAAATGCTTTGAAAATGGTCAGACGTTACTCAAAATGCACAAATTAGTATTTTTATTTTGGTATTCATCTTGCAATACCTCAAATTGCAGCTTGTACATTAAAACTTTAGTCTTTCTGTCTACTTTTGTAACCAGAGTTTATCTAACCCTGTCCTACAGACTTCTGCCTTCCTCCATTCCCCTTCCCCTGCCATGAGATGGCAGAATGTACAAGCACTGGCTACAATTACACATGTAAATGTAAACATGGCTACACTGGAAATGGACATGAGTGCAAAGGTATGCCATATGAATTGACATTTTTACTGTCACTTTGTGACACACTTGTACTTAGCTGGTTTCATATCGCCCACAGATATTAATGAGTGTCTGAACCCCTCTGCTTGTCCCAATGCCAAGTTTGAATGTGTGAACTTGCCAGGATCAGTGCGGTGCTCATGCCGTTATCAGAAAACCAGAGATACTGATGGCTGTGGTAAGTGGTTTCTTTGTTTTTTAAAAGTTATTCAAATAACCAGTGCTGCATTCCATTCAAACTGGTTATGACCTTCCTTAACTACTTCAAAAAACATTAAAGTGGTAGAAACACTCCATCCTATTGGTCAAAATGTGTAAATGCATTAGAGGTTGCAATTTATACTTTATTAAAGCAAGTGGTGCTCGCTGTAGAGCCATTTGAGGAGAGCTGAGCTCCAGCGAGGGAGAGCTTAAGCTTGAGCTCCACCTTTTTTGCACTTCTTCTACGAGTGATGTCACTGGGGGTAGGGTTAGGGGTGGGGTTGGTGTACGCATTAAAACAGCTTACAGAAGGAGGAGCGACAGCTCATGCTCTACCTCGCTGGAGCTCAGCTCTCCTCAAATGGCTCTGCAGCGAGCACCCTACCCTTCCTATGCATATAAATTTTAGCTGAATATCTTATGAAAGCAACAGGACTACATCAGACTACATTTGTGCATACCCCGAGAACTGTTTGACCAGCCTTTGGATTAAAGCTAATAATATTGTAAATAACCGATCATTTCACTTCACAAAACCTCAGTGTATCATATTTTGAAATGTGCAAGAACCAAAATTTAAATATGTGTTTATATATATTAAAAAACATATCTATATGCGTGCGTGTGTGTGTGTGTGTGTTATTCGCTAATAACCAGCTGGATGTGCATTATTCCTTACTTAATATGTTATTAATTAATATGGTTTTAATATGTAATAATATGTGAATTATTGTTCTTCTATTAATTTTGTTGAACATAAACCATTGTTACACTGAGCGACATTTTTAAATCTATCTTCTGTAAAGCATGGTAAAATGTATGATAGTTATATTTTTATTACGAAATAAAATAAAGCTATTTAACTTTTAACTTTTACGTTTTGACACTTTTTTGTCTATTATTTTCTAGGTGAATCTGCTAATCCAACAGGTGAGACTGAAAATGTCATTTTAACTTCAATGTAGAAATGAAATACAGTGTAATGCTATGAGGTAATCCTGCTAACCACACTGTTAGACCTTACCGGGGTTTTTTACAGTAGAATACTGGCAACACTGTTGCCAGCTACTCACTGTAAAAGTTCGGTTACAGTAAGTAACTGGCAACAGTGTTGCCAGTTATTTACTGTAACTGAACCAATACAGTGAGTAGCTGGCAACAGTGTTGCCAGTTAATTACTGTAATAGAGCAGCAGTGGTAACTAACTGGAAACTGTGTAGAGTTAATTACTGTATTGTAGTGTTACAAATTACAGCATTATACTGCATACACATTAATAGTATGTCATATATAGTTATTGTAGTGTTACTAAAATTAATCAGTATTCTTAGCTGTTATTTAAAAACAGAAGGCATACCATTTTTTCAGACAAATTTATTTTATTGTTTTGGCACCAAACAAATAAATAACAGAAAAAGTATAACAAAATTAAAAAATCAGCAGATATAAATATTGTCTTGCATATTACAGGTCTGCACAGTAAGGCTGCGGTCACACTACCGTTTAAGCATGCAATATTCTGTCATACGGCACTGCGAAGTGGAATTAAACAAAGCGAGTAGTGGAATTAAACAAAATAATTAGAAATTGAAAAAGTAAGCCAGAGAGGTCATGTTTTGATCTTTGATTGGTCTCAAGCAATCACATGATGTGATTTTGCATTCAGCGTTCTCCAAGCTTGAACTTTCCAATGCTGCGAATTATGAAATTTGTCTCGTGAGCTATCATTCCAGGTCTGCAGTACTCACATGCGTATGAATGGAAGTCTATAGGGAGAAAAGTGCAGTGTGACCGGGACTTTAAGCTGTAACTCTAATTAAACACACCTGATCAAACTAATTAAGGCTTGTTAGAAATCTACAGGTAATGTTGAAGCAGGGTGGGAACTAAACTCTGCTGCGCTGCAGTTCTCCAGGAACTTGGAGTTTGACCCCCATGGTATGTAGCAGGGGTGCTCAATCCTGTTCCTGGAGATCTACGTTCCTGCAGATTTCAGTTGTTACCCATATCAAACACACCTGCCTGTAATTATCACGTGGCGTTCAGGTCCTAATTAATTGGTTTAGGTGTGTTTGATATGGATAGCAACTGAAATCTGCAGGAAGGTAGATCTCCAGGAACAGGATTGAGAACTCCTGGTATTAGCAATACTTTTAAAGCAACTGCCAACATTTATCACAATCACATATCCAATAAACACACACACACAAAGTGCTGCAGTGAAATGTGTTACTCTCTCCTCAATGCTGACCATGCAAAAAAAAAAAAAAAAAAACTGAACAGCAAAAAACACAAAATAAATATTTTAAATTTTAGTTTTAAATAATTAAAAACTGTGTCAAATCTCAATAAAAAGTTTAAAATAATTGTAGAAAACAAAAATAAAGTTGGCAACACTGAAAAACCAAAGGATAAAATATTTTACTATTATAATTATCTCATGACAACAAACTTCTTTATTGTTTCTAATATAAATTCATAGGTGGAAACACTGCTCTGAAAAATACTTAGCAACAAACTCACAACCTGAGATCGGACAGGGGAGCTTTTGTGTGTGGATGGCTATGTGTATCATGTTTTTGTGATTCCCTGTAATGATGTGCACATGTTACCTTACTGAGATGATGGAATTTAATTTTGGCTTAGTTGCCAGAAAGATACATACAACTGTTAGCATCTGTACATTATGGCAGTATGCAATATCCAATAAATACATATACTGTACTTAAACAAAAGTAATGTAAGAACTTATATGAGGAGAGGCTAACTAGCTAACAATGTAGCTTTCAAGTACACAGTTCAAGATAACAACAGTATAACTTAAAACACAGCCTTATTTTAGAAACCCTCAAAAACATTTGAACACATTTTACTTACTCATTGTAGATTCTTATTTAAAGCCTAAAACATATCAGAATCTACATCTGAATTGATGGACATAGCATAGAGCACACTCAGCAGTAAACAAATCAAACACCTGGCTCCCTTAAAGGGCCGGCATTTTCTGAAAACTCTTTCTAACACCTTTGTGTTTAGAATAAGACGGACAGCCTGTGGGAGTGTGTGGCGATGCCTAAATCATTGTTTTTTACAGTTATTTACTACACAATCTACAGAGTAAAAGTGCAGTTATACTAATTAAACACACCTGATCAAACTAAATCTAAAGGTAGTGTGTTGAAGCAGGGCTGGAACTAAATTCTGCTGGGCTGCGGCCCTTCAGGAGTTTGACATCCCTGGTACATAGCATATTTTCAAAGGAACTGCCTACATTTATCACAATCATGCACATATCATTGAATAAAAACAATAAAAACATAAAAACTTCATCCAAAGCAGAAAATAAATAAATAAATAAATAATAATAATAATAATAAATAATCTGATCCACATGTTGTTCCAAACCTGTTGTAATAAAAATAAATAAATAAATAAATAAAATAACCTGATTAATACATTTTTTTAGGAAAGCCTTTATACTATACTGTTAATGCCACTTTTACCTACTTCATTTGAAGTTTTCCAGACAAATTAATTGAGTCTCTGCAAAAATGTATGTACGTGCTGTTTAAGATATTTTTTAAATAATACATTTTTACTAGTTATTTAGCAAAATACTAATATTCAGCTTAAAGTGCAATTTAAAAGCTTAACTATAGGCTAAACTAGGCAAATTAGATTAATTATAGAAAAGTAAACAAAGTTATAAAAATGATTGTGATAATTTGGTTGCTCTGTGTGAATATTTTTGCCTTTAAATGCATCTCGTCGATATCTTTACCTTTTAATTAGCTCTGTGACATTGACATTGGTTGACTCCTGATACTCAATGTTAAAAACATAAAAGGAACCAAAGAAAACACAAAGATGGCTGCAGAGAAATTTAGCTTATCATCAATGCATTGTCTCACTTTCTCCTCAATACTGACCATACATATACCAAAACTGTATATATATATATATATATATATATAGCAACATAAAGCATCAGAGTACATGGGGTAATAATGGTTGAGCAGTAATTTACCATTTATTATCACAGTAACTATCTGTAATGGGTACATAAAGTAAATTACTGTAATTTATTCTTTGCACTACAAAATTTCATACAAATCCTGCTCCTTTTACAGTAAAATACTGTTTCCTTTTATTACAGCAAAACACTGGCTATTTTACAGTTATTTGCTGCATAATCTACAGTAAGGGTTAACAGTGCACTTAACCAATAAGTAAATTGTAATTATTTTTTAAATATTTTCTAAGTGCTGTTTATTTTTGCAAAATTAAAAAAAAATACTACTTTTAATAAATGACTTTTATAACTAATGTCTTTTGGTTTTGCCATTATTATAGTAAATACTATGTTTCTAGTTATTTTGTATATTAGTATTCAGTTAAAAGTGGAAATTAAAGGCTTGATTAGGTTAAATAGGTAAGTTTGGCAATGTGGTTTGCTATCAGTCCTAATAAAAAATAGTTTATTCAAGCTAAACTTAAAGAAATGAGACTTTCTCCAGAAGAAAAAAAAATTATAGGAGATACTGTAATAATTTCCTTGACTGTTGAACATCACATGGGTAAAATTTGAAAAAATAACAAACAATTCAATATTTTTGCCTTTAACTATATAAACAGGAGGGTAAAATAAGTGTTAAACACATCACAATTTTGCTTAAGCTGATTTTGACATGAAATTGCCTAAGATTTTAGTAAAAACACAAACATATATGATTAAACCATGTTGCATCTCTCAAGAGTGAACTTTTCCCCAGACTTCAACAGAATCTGGACAGTTTTATGGGTCTTGTTTATCATCTTCGATCTCATTCATTTTCTTGTCGGCTCAGTCCCTTTAGTAATCCAGGGTCGCCACAGTGGAATGAACCACCTACTTATCCAGCAAGTTTTTAAGCAGCGGATGCTCTTCCAGCCGCAACCCATCTCTGGGAAACATCCACACACTCATTCATACACACACAGTCATACACCACGGACAATTTAGCTTACCCAGTTCGACTGTACAGCATATCTTTGGACTGTGGGGGAAACCAGAGCACCCGGAGGAAACCCACGCAAACGCAGGGAGAACATGCAAACTCCACACAGAAATGCCAACTGAGCCGAGGCTCGAACCAGCTACCCACCAACCTCTTTGCTGTGAGGCGACAGCACTACCCACTGCGCCTGATCTCTAGTTCTTATTTTCTACTGGATTCAGGTCAGGTTATTGGCTGGGCCACTTTAGCTGCTTTTTCTTTTATGAAACCAATTGGGAGTTTATTTGGTTGTGTTTGGGATCATTGGCTGTTTCTTAATTCCAAGAACACAGAGAACGGCCTTTCGTTCTTGTGGAGACCAGTCTTGCCAGGTGTCCTCGGAAGAACGAACTCAGGAGACCGCGAGGGCAGAGAACGCGTCCTTTGAGAATTGAGATGCTGCATTCTTCCTGATGGTCACATGACCTTCACGTGTTTTAAATGGTAAATTATTTAAACATTACAGCACTCATACAACGATTTATTGTTTTTCCCCTCTTCAAAATATATACTTTGCATAAAAACATTATAAATATACTCTACACAATATAAATAAAACACATTTTAATACGAATTTCAGCAAACAAACACCCTTAATGTGTTAATTCCTATATTAACATGTTCATGGTAATGTTTACTTTCACCGTTTCCTTTAGGGAAACTCCTGAGGTAAATAAATGATATCTCTGAACTTTAATAATAAATCTAAATAAAATGCTGCGCTTCCCACCTCCAGTCGCAATGACTTCTGGGACTTCCAGAGCGAGTTCGGTGCTCAAGTCTGCATCGGTGCGTCCTCGATATCAAGAACACATCCGGGAAGTTTCACACGTCCTCCGTACTTGCGGTCTTGAGTATTGGAACTGAACTTAGGCAGCTGATGATGACGTTGCACGAGAACACGAGGACGCAAGACCGCTGGAGAACGCATATTGAGAAACAGCCATTGTCTTGCTGAAATGTCCACACTGGTTGCATCTTCATCACCCTGGTAATGTAGGTGTTGGGACTGAAGCAGCTAATATTATGTTACACTGATGAGGGGCAGGGTTGCATCCTAACTACTGAGAGATACTGTATGGGCTTTCCATGCATTTTTTACAACTCACTTTCTTCATGTGTTCATTTTCTTTTTCCTGTATAATATTTTATTACATTTTATATATATTTTTGTTACACACTTCATTTCTAAACTATTTAGTTTTTTGTTGTTTGAATGGATTACTTTAATTGTTGCTGAAAATTTTGAAGCTCTATTAAAAATATGTAAGAAAAATCCTTTTAGAAATCTTAGATCGAAAATTCGAACATAACATTGATCTAGGGTGACACGGTGGCGCAGTGGGTAGCACTGTTGCCTCACAGCTAGAAGGTTGCTGGATCGAGCTGCGGCTGGGTGAGTTGTCATTTCTGTGTGGAGTTTGCATGTTCTCCCTGTGTTTTGTGGTTTTCCCCTGGGAGTTTTGGTTTCCCCCACTGTACAAAGACATGCGGTACAGGTGACCTGAATAGGCTAAATTGTCCGTAGTGTATGAGTGTGTGTGTGAATGTGTGTGTGGATGTTTCCCAGAGATGGGTTGTGGCTGGAAGGGCATCCGCTGTGTAAAAACTTGGTGGATAAGTAGGTGGTTCATTCCGCTGTGGCAAGCCCGGATTAATAAAGGGACTAAGCCAACAAGAAAATGAATAAATGAATGAATGCATTTGCAAGAGCATGTGTTTTATGTTTGTATATGCAGATAAATCCCCCAAATTGCACCATGAGATTTATATCAATGTGCTTTTTTTCTTTAGGATGGAATGTTTTTAATGTGTCTGTAGATTGGGGGAGTCAGGACTCTGGACAGGGACTAAGTCAGGTCAGTGTATGGATCTGAGATGCCACATAAATAGAAAGACACGGCATGTCATTAACACTTCAACTCAGGACAAATTTAATTATAATGCTTCTGCTTTCTCTACAGATGGAGCAGATCCTGTCACTTGGTTTTCAGAATAAGTTTTACAATGCCAGTGCTAAAGCTCCTTCAGCTTCAGGGGGCAGCCAGAGTGAGTACAGAATCAATGTATCCAGCGACACGCCACACTGGTATGTCATGGACTACCTGACCCGAGTTAGTCAGTACTACGGCATCCATTCAGCCTCTGTTGAGGGTAAGCCATAGTACAGTGCAGTATCATTTGCACTTAGAGTATTACACCTGAACTTGACTTTGATTGGTCATTGTATATTTAATAGAAAGCGATTTAATGTTCAGACCTGATTATGAAGACAAATAGTCCTACTAAGAGTGTGACACTGCTTTTACTGTATATAGAGTTCAGTAAGCAAAGTTATTTCATTGTTAATTCTGAACTCAACATTTAAAAAGCTTAAATTTTAGACACAATGATCGCTAGTTATGTGTATTTTTGCTCAAATTCAAACTGTTCCAAAACAAAGGTGGTCAACTGGTATTCCTGGTTTTCTTTAGACCTTGACGAATGTAAGACAGATGAGGGTCCATGTTCGAAAACAGCCCAGTGTGTCAACACTTATGGTGGTTACAGGTGCTTGTGCAATGGCACTGATTTAAAGGAGGAATCCCAGTCTTGCTTTCCAGGTAAGAGCAGAACTAAGGATTCTGTGTTTTTTTTTTAAAAGCCATTATTGTACAATACCTTAAGGGTATGGCAAGCTGGTTTGGCATTTAATCTATAACCTGTACTAGTATCTATTTTCATGTTGCTAGTGCTTATTTTTTAGATACTAGTATTTTTTCTATTAAGTACTATTAAGGCACGGGAAACAAGGGAATTGCTAACAGGTGAGACCACATACAAAAAACTAGAAACAAGAGGGAGACAGAGAAAACACAAAAAACCCTGACACTAATAAAAAGAACTAGTGCAATGAGTAAGCACTAGTTTATTTTTTAAAGCACTAGTATCTAGTATCTAATGAATAAGTACTAGTACTTAATGGAAAATATACTAGTATCTAAAAAAATCACTGGTAACATGAAAATAGATACTTGAACGGGTTATAGATTAAATGTGAAAACCACTTGTCATATACAGATTTTCTTTCTTTCTTTCTTTCTTTCTTTCTTTCTTTCTTTCTTTCTTTCTTTCTTTCTTTCTTTCTTTCTTTCTTTCTTTCTTTCTCCTAACCAAAGAATGGAAAGGTAACAACCGCACAGACATTTCCGATGTGGAGGATAAGAAGTCGTTCATTTTGGGGCTGGTCCTGGGCATCGGCATCCCTCTTCTACTTCTGCTGCTGTTGGCAGCCCTTGCCTGCTTCTGCTGCTCAAGAAAGAAAACCATTACTGGGGAGTGAGTGTCCTCCTGATACATACATTAGCAATGTAGGATTTACATGGGTCAGGAAATGTTTTTAAAAAGATCTATTCCAGACACTGAAAGTCAGGATTTATTTATAAAGTTATTAGCCCCCCGTTTATTTTTTCCCCCAATTTCTGTTTAATAGAAAGAAAAAAAAATTCAGCACATTTCTAAATATAATAGTTTTAATAACTCATTTCTTATCACTAATTTATTTTATCTTTGCCATGATGACAATAAATAATATTTGACTAGATATTTTTCAAGGCACTTCTATACAGCTTAAAGTGACATTTAAAGGCTTAACTAGGTTCATTAGGTTAATTAGGCAGGTTAGGGTAATTAGCCAAGTTATTGTATAATGATGGTTTGTTCTGTAGACTATCGAAAAAATATAGCTTAAAGGGACTAATAATTTTGACCTTAAAATGGTTTTAAATTTTTTTTAAAACTGCTTTTATTTTAGCCGAAATAAAACAAATAAGACTTTCTCCAGAAGAAAAAATATTTTCAGACATACTGTGAAAATGTCCACTGTATATATATTGTCCAAACAATGGATTATTGTGGATTTTTGTTTATCGCTGTAAATACAGGGCCGTGTGCACTCACGATTTTGGAGTGTCTATTTAGGCTAAGTGCAAATAGCGCACCTCATTGGAATAAGCTATTTGAGCAACTTACCCTATCACTGTTTGATTGACAGACGCAAAATAACTAAAGAGCACAATTGACAGCAGCGTGAGTGTCATAGCTCGTAAAGCACGTGGCAACATGTTATGACACGATCGATCATCAACCAGTTCGAATCCAGCGTCTGATAAACTCATTCTTCTTTTTTCCCCATTACATGTCAGATTGGAAATGCGTTTATTTTAAATAGAAAGGAAATATTTTTGTTTAAAAATGAAAATAATGAGAATGTGATATAAAGTCACAAGTGGCTTGTGGGTATTAAATAAGGTTTAGCTTATCAGCATCTAAATAGTGATTTAAAATATTCTATAAACAGTTATTTTCCACCTGGTGTTAAATGTTAGCGATTTCTTAATATAACTAATTTGTATTTACAAATTTTTTATGTGATCTATAACATGTTGCCAGGTAAGAAAAAACACATCAGTACAACCTCTTACAGTATATCTTATTTTTTCTAATGTCTGGAAATTCAGCTTTAGAGTAAAAGTCAGGCAAAAATCTGGGAAATATTTGGCTTTAGAGTGGAAACCCTGGATTTTGTACTGTCTATAGATACAGTTTTGCATACTAGACGTGTTTGTGCCAGCAAATAGGTTTATAAATGGTGAAAAAGGGAATACTGAATATGTAAATGTTGTATACTGTATCTGTTTACTTTCATGACATGTCTGACATCAAGGCACCCTATTGAATTGCTAAATTATTTGTTTTATGGATTTGGTTGACAAAAAAAGCTTGATGCTGGATCCTAACTCTGTTTTCTCTCTCTCTCTTCATCAAGTATTCCTCACCTGCTGCCCGAGTACATTCAGGAGCACTTCAACCCTCCTTTCAACTTTGATGACCCCTCTCTGCACTATAAACCTCATTGCAGCCCGCGTATCCTTGATAACCTCACGCCCAGACACAAGCATCAGTACAGATAACACAGCGGACATTTGTATTTAAAGGAAACCCCAAAATGATATTTAATTTGAGATAGACTGTTGACTTTTTAAGTCCTGTGTGTAAATAAAGGTGTCCAGGATGCATAGCCTCATTTTACAGGTTTTTACAGACCAATTTCTTAATACTTTAGTAATTTTTGCAAAACTCTTCACACGAAGTCGTCTATCAGCTTGGCAAAGCAGTTCATTTCACATTCAAAATGCACTACAACTACCAAAACACTTTATTCAGGTCTCAAATAAACTCATTCTTCCAGAACACTAGCAAAGCAATTACCTAAAAACACTAACAACATGCTGCATTACACACATAACATTACACACAAGCACAATTCTCTATTTATAATTGCAATATATATTGTTTATAACTGCAGTATATGTTACTGGAATGAATCAGACATGATGCAGAATTCCTCAATATTTTATTTCATTTATTTATTAAAATGTTTTTTTGCACTACTGTAAGTACTTTTAAAATACAAGAGTTTGTATACACACCATCCACTGATACAGAATAGCAATGCATTCAATAGCAATAGCAATCAGGCTGGTTAAACTGCATTTTTAGATTTGATATATGTTTCAATAAAATATTGCTGTTGAATTTTGCTGTCTTTTTCAGTTTTGCATTATGTTATTGTTGTAAACAGAAGTTTAACAGTTTTGAAAACAGTATATAAGCACGTGCAAAATGTCATTTTTATGCTCATTTAGGACAAATTTAGTTGTGTTTGAAAAAAACCCACCAAGATCTACACCTTTAGATGTTATTATTAATATTTATGTGTATATGTCTGCTCAAACATGCACCCAAAACCCATGTTTCATCAAAAAATGTCATCAAATAATTCATGAAATTTGAGAGATGTAGTCATTGACTCGACTTTGTGCAATGATATTGATCCTCAGTTTGGCCCACATGGACTTCTGTTGTGCTCACTGTGGGAAGAGTTTTGCAAAAGTGACTCAAGCATTAAGAAATGTGTCCAAGCGTCTGTAAAAACTGTAATGTCTTCGATGCTAAAATAAATATGAATTTGATGCAATTTAATGTATGCCTTTATCAGTAATAAATATAAAGCACCGTTAATCCCAGTCAAACATCATCAGATACTTTGTTTTGACCATGATGTTTGTACACCCATTAGCAAATTTTCTTTAAATGTAAAAAAAGAATGATTTCTTTTTAAAACGTGATTTTTGTGTTGAACTGAGGAGTCAGTAAACAATTTTTGTAAAGAAAATAAATGTATTAAATAAATGTAATTTTTTTAGATCAGTATTGACAGTATATGGTGAGTTGCTTAGCTGTAGTTTAATGTTTTGGGGGGTTTTTTGATAATTTTTTTTGGATACACTCTTGATACATCACAAAAACTTGCTGTCTTGGTCACACATGTGCCAGCGAGACATGCAACAACAATTTGTTCTCTTTTGAGCTCTTGTATGTCACCCATACCTGTCAACCCTCCCGTTTTTCCCAGGATTCTCCCGTATTTTACAGTTCTATCCCGCTATCATCCTGTAAAAGTATTTTCCGGTATTTCTCCTGTATTTTCAGTCTTTCTCTGAAGGGTGTTAAATAAACATTAAAGAGCCGAGCATCCCTTTACGCAACCCATACCGCCGAACCACCAGGGGCCGCCCCTCACTCTTAAATGTGAGTCTGTTCTGTGCTTTCGCTTTATTTAGGCATGAAAAGACTGAAAAAAACATTAAAAAGGTGGGATTTACTTCCTTTACATTACAGGTGCCATCGCCCCTTCATATGCAATCCTCAAAACAGTCATGTAGCGGTGTGTGACTGTCAGCTGACTCGCTCCATAGTGATAAATAGACGCTGTTTCCCAAACGGATTCTGTACTCGTGATTTAAAGCGGAGCGAAAGTCTGGCTTTTGGGTGCGTGTTTGAACAGACATGTACACATAATTATTAATAATAACATCTAAAGGTGTCGATCTTGGTGTTTTTTTATTTTTTCAAACACAACTAATTTTGTCCTAAATGAGCATAAAAAGTTATAAAAGCAATCAAATGCTTTCATTATAACGTTAGATGTGTGCTTTTTTTTAAAGTGAAACCTGTTATTTAATGTAATCTAACAAAAAAATCTAAATAAATAAGAGATTCATTCATTGTTCTCTAATCAGAATGTGTAAGTTATACAGTGAAGAAACGGCTAATGAGATTTGATAACTTGATTCTATTTCATTATAATAGCTCATTTTTATAAGCTGATAATAATAGCTAATTTTAATAAGCTTAATGCTATTTTTTTGCTGCTAATGTATACTATTTATTTTTTTCTTTTGTAAATAATACTAAAACAAATTACTAACCATTTAACTGTTAATTTACAATGAAACAGCTTTAAATGAGCATAGCAATTTGGGGATTTTCTTAGAGGGGATTCCTTATTATGGTGTGCATATCCCTTATTTTCACATCCCAATGTTGACAGGTATGCAATGTCACCCATAATGTTGTGTGCATTGCATTTTAAGCACAACTGTGCTATTACTCTGCACTCAATGAAGGTTGGCCACTAGGCTGGTCAAATTTAGCAAGGAAACCTCCAACACTCAATTGTATATATAGTTGAAGTCATAATTATTAGCCCCCCTGTTTATTTTTTCCTCAATTTCTGTTTAAGAGAGAGAGAAGATTTTCCTATAACACATTTCTAATGTCAGTTGGCAATTTCTGTGTGGAGTTTGCATGTTCTCCCCGCGTTCGCTAGGGTTTCCTTCGGGTGCTCCGGTTTCCCCCAGAGTCCAAAGACATGCAGTACAGGTGATTTGGGTAGTCTAAGTTGTCTGTAGTGCACGAGTGTGAATGAGTGTGTATGGATGTTTCCCAGAGATGGGTTGCAGCTGAAAGGGCATCCGCTGCATAAAACATCTGCTGGATAAGTTGGCGATTCGTTCCGCTGTGGCAACCCTGGATTATTAAAGGGACTAAGCCAAAAAGTAAATGAATTAATTAATTTCTAAACATAATAGTGTTAAAAACTCATTTCTAACAACTAATTTATCTTTGCCATGATGACAGTAAATAATATTTGACTATATATTTTTCAAGACACTTCTATACAGCTTAAAGTGACATTGAAAGCCTTAACTAGGTTAATTAGGCAAGTTATTATACAGTATATTGATGGTTTGGTCTGTAGACTATCAAAAAAAATAGCTTAAAGGGGCTAATAATTTTGACCCTAAAATGTTTTTAAAAAAATTAAAAACTGCTTTTATTCTAGCCGAAATAAAACAAATAAGACTTTCTCCAGAAGAAAAAATATTATCAGGCATATTGTGAAAATTTCCTTGCTCTGTTAAACATCATTTGGGAAATATTTTAATAAAGAAAAAAATTCAAAGGGGGGCTAATAATTCTGACTTCAACTGTATGTGTCATTTTTCCCCAATGTACGGTATGTGGCTGTACAACAGAGGTGTTAACAATTGGTGACGTAAAAGTGTAGTATAAACAGTTTACCCCTTGGTGGCAGCAATGTGTTTCTGTGATGTTAAGGGCAGGCAGTCAATCACAAGAGGCACTGGCTAGATACCTACACTTCTCCCTATGCAGTGTGTGTGGTGGCTCCTGCAGGATGAGATCATCAGAGTTGTGTGCAGCCCTGCACTGCAGAGGAAGACCCACATCAGGAGAATGGGTCAAGGGCAGGGGAGTAGCCACATTTACACTTTAATTTCTTCCGTCCTTTATATTATACCTCCTCTCTTAACCATCCTTATTTTTGTCCCTATACAATAATTATTATCATAGACTGTTTGAATAGTTTCCCCCATCAGCCCTTCGTGGCTTTATTTTTTCTCTATTTTCCTTGCAAATCATCTTGCAAATCTCTTAGAGAACTTCTTCAGCTAACACACTCCTTTTGTCTTCACGAATGGATTCTGCCAGAATAAATATGTAAAGTCCCTTCATACATTGCACTTTACACATTGTAGGTTGTGTCAAAGCAGCTTCACAGAGATTCATCAGTTCAACTGAAATGAGCGCTGTTTTCACTTTGTGTCAAGATTCATTTTAGTTCAATGCGAATGTCACTGTTGAAGGATGTGATTTAGCTTTAGGGAAGCCCTACCATTCCCAGCTACGCAAGCCAAATTGTGACCGTAGGAATCCAAACTCCACAAGGTGACAGAAAAGGAGGGAAAAAACAGACTTGCTTGGGAACAGTTCTTCTCTGACCAACCCACCCTCATGTATCAGGCCTTTAGCCGGGGGCGTTCGGGTGGTTTAAAAGACCCCACCCCCCACTGACAAAAGTCCCATACATGAAATCATTTCGACTGCTATTCCATCATAAATTGTGAAAATAACCCATCAAAGAAAGGCTTTAGGATCAAGCAGAATGCTCTGTTGGCTGTCGTGACTTATTAGTTTTGGCCAATTCAAACAATTATATGACTTGAATTGAATTATATTCAATTACATGAATCCAACATCTGTGCAAGACAACATACAATCTGACGAAAGTCAAGTCATCTTTCACCACTGACCTGTTTTGCTGTTAAATAGAAGGGAAAAAAATTATATCATGGACCTTATTTGCAGTGGAACCCCCAGAACGTTTTCTTAGGGGTGGCCAAAAGAGGCCACACCAAATCTGGCAGGTGGAGGCGGCACAAAAAAAAAAAATAATGAATTCAGTGTAATGTTATATTTTTGCTTTTGGTAAATGAAATAATGTGGTTTTAATTAATTTAATTAATTACTCTTGAAATATTGCAATTTATTTCTTGAAATGATTTAGCAAGTACATGTGTAAACCAAATAAAAATCAATATTTATTTATATATATATATATATATATATATATATATATATACACACACACACACACAGTTGAAGTCAAAATTATTAGCGCCCCCCCCCCCCCTATTATTAGACCGCTTGTTTATTTTTTTTCCCAAATTTCTATTTAACTGGGAGAAGATTTTTTTCAACACATTTCTAATCATAATAGTTTTAATAACTCATCTCTAATAACTGATTTCTTTTCTCTTTGCCATGAGGACAGTAAATAATATTTTACTAGATATTTTTCAAGACACTTACAGTTTAAAGTGACATTTAAATGTTTAAATAGGTTAATTAGGTTAACTAGGCAGGTTAGGGTAATTAAGCAAGTTATTGTATAACAGTAGATTGTTCTGTAGATTATAAAGAAAAAATATAGCTTAAAGGGGCTAATAATTTTGTCCCTAAAATGGATTAAAAAAAATTAAAAACTGCTTTTATTCTAGCCAAAACAAAACAAATAAGACTTTACCTAGAAGAAAAAATATTATCAGACATACTGTGAACATTTCCTTGCTCTGTTAAACATCATTTGGGAAGTATTTAAAAAGAAGAAAAAAAATGTTATTTACAGCATACAGTATGTCTAAAATAAATAAAAATTAATTATTTAATAAAACAAATAAGTGAAAAACTGAACAAAAGGCATTACTATATACACACACACACTCACTATACAGACCCTAATAATATAATTTATCCTTGTTTTTTCGTTTTTAAGCCATGATAATATTAATACAGCTTCTTGTATTGATGTACCATAAATATTAAATTGCTATTGCTGTCTATTGAAGGTGCTGTCAACAATGATTGGGGAGGGGGAGGGGCAGTGAATCAGCAACGTCAGTGGCATCAATCAATCCACAATAATTTAGTGGCTGCTGTTTATTTATTGATTAAATATTGTGAATTTACGTAAGTACATT